TTTTCCAAGTTTGTGGAGATAGCATTACTTCCTAATTTACATAGCGCCACAGTCATAGCCGCTTTGAAAAACATGTTTAGTCGCTTCGGGATCCTTCAAAAGATAGTGAGTGATAATGGAACTCAATTTTCGTCACATGAATTCAAAATTTTTAGTGAATTGTGCGCGAGGTCGAACGGTCTGGCAGAAAGGCATGTCCGTACGGTCAAAGCCTTGTTGACAAAGGCGGCCGAAAGCAAAGAAGACTGGCAGTTAGGTCTCCTTAATTTTCGCAATACGGCGCTCGCAAGCGAGCAATACTCCCCGGCACAACTGCTTATGGGTCGCAGGCTGCGCTCGCGTTTACCGGCGACTAGCGATGCGCTGCGCCCCGAGCTCGTGGACGCCGACGCGGTGCGCGCTCGCAGAGAGACAAATAATCGAGTCACTAAAAGTTATTACGACAGAGATACTCGGGACTTGCCACCGTTGCAACCCGAGGAACCAGTGCGTATGAAAGACAAGAAAGAGTGGGTGAAATCGGAGGTAATTAAACCGGCACAAGATGGGCGTTCATACTGGGTCAGAACTGAAAATGGTAGGTTGTTTCGTCGAAATCGTCAACATTTGATGAAAATTCCAAGAAGTGATAAATGCAAACATAAACATTCAAATGGGTACATTGACTTAGATGATAAACTGTGGAACTCGATCCCTAATCAGCCTAAAAGCCTCGATCCTAATAGCCTGCCGCCGGTTGTGGCATCGGGCCCATCGTCGTCGCCTCGGCCGATCACTACTCGCAGCGGCCGAGTGGTGCATCCACCGCGCAGGCTAATTGAGAATTATTAATATATTGTTAAATAACAAACATAAAATTAATTGGGATTTGTTTACAAAACTAAAATAAAATCATTTGTATACCGTACCTAATGTTAAATAACTATTTCATACAAAATATATTTGATAGACAGTATGGGTACCTATGATAAAACTTCATATGTTAACTGTGTATACAATTAGTGTATGTATGGTGATGATTTTGCATGTATTTACTTATCGCTGTCAATGATGTTGGAAGGGAGATGTTGTAGGTAGTTTAAGATATAAGAGCAATGTACCTTCAGAAGTGAATATACTTAATTAGTCGTTTCCTAACTGGCGTATTATTCATACATACACAAACATATTACACTTAATGTGCGGTAAACACAAAAGTAACGCATGAAGTTGGTCGCTAAAGCGACCAACTTCATGCTGTTAAAATTTTGTGTTACAGTGATGCGCGCGCATCTTAAAATTTCACTCTCATCATTTTTTCATAACGCGCCTAAAGAAGTATAACTTCAATAATTTTATTTTCAATAAGTTGTTACATCATGAACACATTAATTAATCAAATTCTTCAAGTTTTTAAACAATCGTAGATACATAACAGAGATAATAAAAGGTGTATTTTATTTTTGTTTTTTTTTTGATTAAACGTAATGTAAAGTTAATCGTGTGTATGGTGAGTTAAGTATGAGTAGGGAAACAAACAATCACAACAAATATTAATTTCATACTAATTTATTATAACGCAAGTACATATTTACATAGTAACGTAAAGTGGGTCATAATGCCTAAGTTCATTGACTCGCTAGACGCTACAGTAACAATACTGTAGCATTGACTGTGGGTCCCACACTAGGAGAAACCTGTATCGTGGGCACCCTAATATAATAAATAGGATGGCGTCACATAAATAATTTATATGTAATTATTATTTGTAACAAAACAAACGTAATGTAATCAATTATAAATACTAAATTAAAATCAATATTGTATGTATGTGTATGTCCGTCTATGTGTGTTTGCGTGCGTGTGTGTGTTGGTGTGTGTGTATGTGGAGAAGAATAGATATAGTTTGGGATAGGAATGTAATTTATTTATTTGACATACCATCAACAATTTCACAAATTTCAATAAAGATTAAAGATGCAGGTAGAACTCAACCGTGTGAATTGCCACTGCAGGCATGTACAACATTGACTATATGTAGGTAGGTACTTACTTATACTTTTAACAGAAAAAAAATTACTGTTCGGTTTGAACGTTACCATACAGATGATTTTTGAGGGCTTTGAGTGGAGTAATGCATCAACATAGACAGTGCCGTGTTTGACCTATTGAAGGACCTGGGGGCCATTCGCCTAACGGAAATGCTGTGGAAAACGCTAACGCTTACAATTTCATTTTGTTATTTCTAGCCCCTGAGGTTTTGATATCAATATTAAAAAGAAATGAGCGTGAATATTCGGCGGTCAGAAATGACAAAATAAAATCGAAAGCGTTAGCGTTTTCCTAAGCATTTCCGTTAGGCGAATGACCCCCTGGGCATATTAGGATAATGAGGCCTCTATGACCCCCGTTTGGTGATTTAACAGGAACTAGGGACTTTGTATTTGATCTGAGGGGGGCCCCTATCATTCGCGGGGCCATGGGCACATGCCCAAAGTACCCACTGGGAAGGAGGGGTCTGACCATAGGGCTAGATTAAAGTACTCTAATTGTATGAAAACCGAGCGTGTCACATTTTGAATAGTCACAAGAACAAATTAAGTTAATAAAATAGTTTTTAGTTTAGTTAGTTTCTTTAATTGTATTTTTTTTCCTTTCGTCTTCTTATTATGTAGCTATCAAGAAAACTGTTGCCTTGTATTCCGCACAACCCCCCTGACTCTCTTACCTCCTTTTACTTCCAGCTCATTCGGTTATCTGGAAAAAATCGCTCATTAGCGATAAGACCGCCCTTTGTGCAATATTGTATTTTCTGCTTTGTTTTGTTTTGTGCTTGTTTTGTTACTGTGTTGTGCAATAAAGAGTTTTTTATCTTACATCGCAAATAAAAGCGGACCAAGCAAGGTTCCTTGTAGGACTCCATTAGGCACCGAAAGCCATCTAGATATATATTTTTTAATAACGACGGCCTGTGAGCGATTAATGATATAAGAGGATAACCACCTTAGAAGGTCGCCACCAACGCCGCTCACTTTCAACTTATTCTACAGTAAATCATGTTGAATCCGATCGAAAGCCTTACTATAGTCCGTATAGAGAACCAACGTCTCAAAGGCACGTTTCCATATAGTTGGCACAGTGTTCTCCGCCAAAGATCTCAAAGATAAAAAGATTAGAGCTTGGAGTTGCTATAGTTTTCGCGCAATTAATAAGAAAGAGAGAAGGTGAAGAATCCGGACCAGCAGACTTGATGGGTCGAGACTTTCGAGTTTCAAAAGGATTTTAGTAATTTCGTCTATGTTCATGTCAATTTTATTAATATCAGCACTAGTAGGGACATAACGGTTCGCACTCAGAGAAGCTGAATTGTTTAAAAAAATGGTGTGAAAGTACATAGCAAAGGCATTGCAGATCGCTTGCCCGTTATCAAGCACACTATCGTCGTAATTCAAAGTACAAGGTATTTCATTAATACTTTATTTAAATTTTATAAATGACCAAAATATTTTTGGTTTATCCCTCAAAGAGCTCTCCACTATACAAATATAGCTACTGTAACATTCCTTTTCTAGTGTTTAATATCGCACCCGGATTAGTTTAAACGACTCTTCATCGGACTGGTTTCCGTAAAGGAGATTGCTTAGCTTCTATACATGTTTGGCCTAAAAACTAATAATCATGAAAAATTGTTTCCTAGATTCGAAATTATATATAAACTAGCTGACCCAGCGAACTTCGTACCGCCCTAAAAAAATAGGGGTTGTCCAGCGGACAAAATTGTGAATATAAACCATTCTCAGATCCCCTTGAACACACACAAAAAATTTCATCAAAATCGGTCCAGTCGTTTAAGAGAAGTTCAGTGACATACACACTCACAGAAGAATTATATATATAAAGATTACTGTAGAAACGAATATTATTGACGGACACCCCTGAGAACTTCTATAAACCATATACACTGAACATATTAAAATAATAAAAAACAAATAAGTTATATAGTAAAACTAAGGAAATCAAGCCAAGTACCGAAATTATGGATTAGATTCAGGTATATAGAGCATGTAGATTAACAGATAGTTGCCTGTTTTTAAAGTTAATGCATAAGAGTAACTTTTAAAATCAGGTGTCATTTCCGGTTATATTAAGGTACTCTGTGACAGAAACTGTGTGATGATTGTGAATTCGTATGTTTTCCAAACCGGTAAAATGAAAAGTCCTTTTTAAAGTAAATATATTATACAAAGGTGTCCGTTGAAATCTAATAGCTGTAAATTTAATTATAAATTACGTCAAGAATTACCGTGCATGTCAATATTTTTTGTGCATTTGGGCCAATTTGAGCAATCTCCTTTTGATTTTTTTCCAAAATTTGTGTTTCTCTTTGAGAAACCTCTTCAGAGATGACGAATACCATTTAGGGTATTGGTTTTAAGTGACTGTACTAGATGGTATGTTTATCCCTTATTGATTTAAATATCTCGTAAAAATAATCTACTGCTATTTCCAAAGGCTTAGACATAAGTACAGAGTGCCAATCAATTTTTGAAATTTCTAAGTGAATCGCATCATAGTTTACCTTTATTAAAAAAAATATTGGATGCGCGGAGCACTCTTCAATGAGACAAATGTCAGCGAACTGCAGATCGATGGTCGGGGCTGATGGATTATGGCCAGAAATATGAACACGATTTAAGAAGATACTTTATTTTACTTTGAGGAGACACAGCTAGGCACAATTACGCAGCGAGACAAGACGGAATGACATAAGAATGATTAGAGACCCAATACATTTCTGTTTACAAAGCTAGTCATAAGTTACATTATGGAAAAACCTAAAACTATGTATGGTATTGCGTTTACAAAGACAATTCTAATAGGGGCATCATGATGTAGATCAATGGGCAAGAGTGGATCATCGCTACAGTCATATGGACATAAAGAGTCAAATTAAAAAAAAAATTAACACAGGTCTCGGATATCCTCCGTCGATATTGACATGTCTATTGATATATTCGCAGCGAGCGTCCGAGCGGAGAGTGCCGGCGCGTTCCTGGTGGAGCGCGCGCTGTCCGGCGCCTCGTCCGCGGAGCGGGGCGCGCCCCACGCCATGCCCCGCGCGCAGGCCTGGCTGCTGCTGGGGGATCTGTGCCTCAGGTAGGGCTCCCTCGACGCGGTCGCGGAGAGTGCCGGCCCCTTCCTGGTGGAGCGCGCGCTGTCCGGCGCCTCGTCCGCGGAGCGGGGCGCGCCCCACGCCATGCCCCGCGCGCAGGCCTGGCTGCTGCTGGGGGATCTGTGCCTCAGGTAGGGCTCCCTTGACGCGGTCGCGGAGAGTGCCGGCCCCTTCCTGGTGGAGCGCGCGCTGTCCGGCGCCTCGTCCGCGGAGCGGGGCGCGCCCCACGCCATGCCCCGCGCGCAGGCCTGGCTGCTGCTGGGGGATCTGTGCCTCAGGTAGGGCTCCCTTGACGCGGTCGCGGAGAGTGCCGGCCCCTTCCTGGTGGAGCGCGCGCTGTCCGGCGCCTCGTCCGCGGAGCGGGGCGCGCCCCACGCCATGCCCCGCGCGCAGGCCTGGCTGCTGCTGGGGGATCTGTGCCTCAGGTAGGGCTCCCTTGACGCGGTCGCGGAGAGTGCCGGCCCCTTCCTGGTGGAGCGCGCGCTGTCCGGCGCCTCGTCCGCGGAGCGGGGCGCGCCCCACGCCATGCCCCGCGCGCAGGCCTGGCTGCTGCTGGGGGATCTGTGCCTCAGGTAGGGCTCCCTCGACGCGGTCGCGGAGAGTGCCGGCCCCTTCCTGGTGGAGCGCGCGCTGTCCGGCGCCTCGTCCGCGGAGCGGGGCGCGCCCCACGCCATGCCCCGCGCGCAGGCCTGGCTGCTGCTGGGGGATCTGTGCCTCAGGTAGGGCTCCCTTGACGCGGTCGCGGAGAGTGCCGGCCCCTTCCTGGTGGAGCGCGCGCTGTCCGGCGCCTCGTCCGCGGAGCGGGGCGCGCCCCACGCCATGCCCCGCGCGCAGGCCTGGCTGCTGCTGGGGGATCTGTGCCTCAGGTAGGGCTCCCTTGACGCGGTCGCGGAGAGTGCCGGCCCCTTCCTGGTGGAGCGCGCGCTGTCCGGCGCCTCGTCCGCGGAGCGGGGCGCGCCCCACGCCATGCCCCGCGCGCAGGCCTGGCTGCTGCTGGGGGATCTGTGCCTCAGGTAGGGCTCCCTTGACGCGGTCGCGGAGAGTGCCGGCCCCTTCCTGGTGGAGCGCGCGCTGATGCGCACATTAGCAAAAAGAAATGTGCGATCGTATTCTGAAACTAATAATGGTTCGAGTCCCGTCTACTGCCATGTCCGTGTGGATTTTTTTCTATTAAAATTTTCTTTTTAATTTAAACATCTGGCAATTAAATGTTTAAATTTTTTATTAATACTTTAAAGTTTAGAGAATTGGCACCGGTATTTACGTATGTTGTTATATGTTAAATGCAGGTTAGGCAGAGTGAGTGCGGCGGCGGGCTGCGTCAGCGAGGCGGCGGCGCTGACGCCTTACAGCCATTTAGTTTTATATACGGTGAGTGTTATTTGAGGCCATGAGAACCATAGTGGCCTAACTCATTTTTTACAATATTGGGTTTATGATTTTTTCCAGTTCAAATTGATCATTTTGATAGAACCAGAGTGGTCTAAAAGTGATAGAACGCATATTCACTAGATGGCAGCATAATTACTGTTACGGTTTTTAGTCTGTGATCTAAATTTTAGGTGCCATACTGGCCTAAGTAAGATAGGCCACTATGGGTCTCATGGCCTCATTTATCTGTTAATTAACTGTACTATAGTAAACTGACTATTTTACTTTTTAATTAATTAGCTAACTTCGGTAATAAGCTAGGCATAGGAAGCGTCGGTTAAATTATACTACTGCAGTGGCAATAGGCTAGTTGACACTTTTTGAAAATATGTTTTAAATGGTTATTAATTGTTCAATTATACCGAAAAAAAATGTACTGTATTTTCTTTTTACCTAGAAAGCTACAAAACTTTAATTTTAAAACAGATTTTTCATGGACATACAAAAACGCTGTCGGCCATTTTAGTCTATAGATTATCTATGGTATGACGGGAACGAAATAGTAAACAAACACTCGCAAGCACGTAGGATATAACCTATCTGAATTTACATTACAAAACCATGAATTCTAATAGATTTCATGATAAATGTAGTAATTATCATGATTGTATTATACGAGAATAAAGAAACACATCGTTAAAGACTCCAGAAATGTCGTGGTTTCAATTTTTAAGGTTATGAATGTACCTGCTAAGTCGAAGAGTTTTGTCGTTTCTGCTTTCACAAATCCGGCGTCCAGCATTAATTTAGTCAACAAAACCAATAAACGGACACTTTTCTTCAAGATATAAGAGTTTTTAGATATATTTTAGTCGGACGAAAGAAACCACAGTAACACGACAATGACGTTTAGTTGTTTGCTATTATGTTGACGTCACAATCATGGTGGACAGTGTTTTTAGTGTTTAAAAAGCATAGACTAAAAAATCATTTTTCATATTAAATTACTACAGCCATCTTCTAATTTTATGAAGTGAAATCGGTGTTTGTAGGTTCCTCATACCAAAAATTATAAGAAATAAGCATTTGTATAGTGCAATTTGACATGAGTCAACTAGCCTATTTATAGAATTGAATATTAATAACAAGGCAAAATAAAGGAAAAGGATCGTTACCGCTATTAATCCGAAAATGCGGGATCACTGGATAACGCTTAAATTTATATTTATATTTACATACTAAAACACACTTATGTTAAATAGTGCCGTATTACAGGGGACTACGAGACTAGTTTGCGAGTGTGAAATGTCATTGTGCAACAAAATCAACATTTAAAATCAGCCCTTGCTAAGCTTCTTGCCTGTTCTTCTCAGTACAAGGTCTCCCGCCGTAGATTTACGAACCGATGGCGTAGCTTCTAGACATTCATGAGTGCTTGTAACAGCCTAAACTGAATAAATGATTTTGATTATGATTATCATGTATGATGGAGGTGTTTCCCTTTAAAAGTTTTATGAAAAAGTCATAGGTTGTCGCGACCGCAAAGGTAATCTGCTTAATGCGGATGTAACCGCAGTGCTTAAATAAACATAATAATTCTCAGTTCTACCGACGCTTACTTCTAATAGCCTGCCCAGACGAGGAACTATTTTCCGCGGAACTGTTTCAACTAAGTTATTCTGTGTTATAAAGATAAAACAATGCCTTCGATGCTTTTATAAAGAACACAAATAGTGAACTACTATAAGATTAAATAAAGATATAAATAAGATTAAATAACAAATGCTACGGCAACACTTTTCATTCGTAAAAATATAAAAACTTTTTTTTTTTCACAAAAATCACGGTTTGTCATGAATGTTCGTTACTGATTTGCCATTTTTTATCAAGAAAAGGACAACAATCCAACTCTGCCGTCTGTAGAGAGAGAAAAGAAAAAGCAGTCGGCTGTAAAGCGACTGCGTTGAAGCGTACAATTGTGTTTCGCTCGCTCGATTGAATGTTTATTTACAAAAGTGTGCGTGTGTGAAAGTTCCTTATTTTTTTTTTTATTTCAACCATAAAAATCATAGCATGCCAATGACAAAATAATAATAAATAGTAATACAGTACAATCCGTTTATTATGACTTCGAATTGAATCGACAAACACGTCATACTAAGCGGACGTCATACAAAGCATTTTTGTGAAAAAAGATTGTGAGATGAGTTTGATCCTCCATTTTCTAATCAGCATATTTGCATATTGCACCTTTTTCCTCAGTCGTAAATGCTTTACGACGTTGAGATGACATTTTTTTACATAGCATATCACTAAAAACAATGCTTGATGTTCAATTTTAATCAGCGAACATTACCATAGGTGTAAAGAACCATGTCGGTCACAATAAACGCACAAAATTGATTAAAAATTGGTCATAATAAGGGACATGTCACTGTAAGCGAAGTCATTATATCCGACATTGTTACAATGAATTTTATATGAAAACCAAACTTTATTGTGTAATTACGTCATAATAGGCGGTTGGTCAATATAGGCGGATTCATAATAAACGGATTCTACTGTAATTATGATACGTAAAAACAAATTAAATTACATCTCCATATACAATTACATTAAAAAAAAAAAAATCAATCGGTTTCACACCTATTAACAGTTTCAAAAAATCCAAAAATAAAATGTCAAAATTTAAAATGGTAAAATAAAAATTAAAATGTTATAATTAAAATGTCAGAATTTAAATTCAAAGTTATAATAATTTGGTAGAGATTAATGCGTATATTATATATACATAACAAAATTTTATATAGTCACTACATGAATCATAGGCGCATGGTTCATATAGTGACAGTCAAATCTACTCGAAAAGAGTTTCAGGATTGTGTTATGTAGTTGAGGCGGATCATGTTTTATTTGATGCTGGTATGAGCGTACCGCATCTTCCCTTTTTGTTTTAATCAAAGTTATCAATATTTCTTTTGTGTTATTTTAGCGGGGTTTGGTCCACGCGGCGAGCAACGAGTGGGAAGAAGCTCGCCAGTGTTTCCAAAACGCACTCGCGATACACCCCACACATTTGGACAGCATGGTGCAATTAGGTCTGTATGCGTTGCTCTCACCTACTTATAGTAAGGAAATCCTGTATTATTAAGTGAGCAGGTACTAGTTATAGTCTGTCCATTCTATTATTATCTTTTTGACAGATCGATCGAAGTAAAAATAGTGACACCCTATCACATAACTCGTTTGATTTAAAGCTATAATCGATTTTATGCTAGAACATTATTTAATCGATTATAAGTATCGAAATTATTTTAGTTATCAAAAATACTGGTGTTTAATAAATTATTACAAAATCTCATTAGATTTATCATTTTACCTAGTACAAATATTTGTGTGATGAGCACGAGTATTAGTTCTGTGTCTGGGTGTGATTTATCTATAATATGTATATATATACAACAAAAAAAGCAGTATACTTTTTATATGAGTATACTTTAAAATAACGCGTGTGGTGATGTTACACCTGAAAACTGGGCGAGTGTCGTTGAACGAACGACGAAAATTATAATGTCTGACTGGGATCGAGATGTTGCCTCTGACAATATACAACAGAATGAACTCATCATTAATACCGAGGACACATCTGACGATGAGTCCAGTTTGTATGAAGAATCTGATACGTCTGAATAAATTAAAAATAAACTAAGAAGACATTTACATAATTAACTTTATATAATGTTAATATTTCAATAACTTGGTTTATACCTTACAATCTGGTTGTACTGATTTCGATTATTTGTAATCTGTGGCACAATCTTAGTAATCATTATGTGTGGCACATCACTAAGTGAAGTACAATATTATTTGTATGACTTTTTAACATAAACAATACAAAATTTCGATCTGTCGAAAAGATAATAATAGAATGGACAGACTATAGTAAATACTTTGAATTGATAACATTAGTTGTTTTAAGCACGGAAAAGTAAGAGGAAATTTTCCTGAAAAAAAAAATATTTTCATCATTCCATGATCTTCCTTTCATTTATAATGCTATGTTGTGTAGGAAAAAATCCATATGATAAACTTTTTCGATGGTTATCATAAAATATGGTATGTGTTTTTTTTAATCTCACGACTTTGGTTCCCAGTTGTAGAAGATGATTTAAAGAAAATCTGTGAATGCAGTTCTAGTTATTATTAAACATAAAATCATGTTTTCTTTCAGTAAAATATCCTATCTTTAATATTTAATATACTTTCCCTCCGTGTGACAAACTCGTGGGACGCCTTGTATTTTTCTCTAAGCATGTAACTGCTAGGTTCGTAAATCTAAAGAAAATTTTTACTAGAAAAAATTCTACGCGGACTAGGCAGCAGACGGGACGGGTCGGTTTTTTCATCTAGGAGTTAAATGCTAATATATATATATATATAACTATAAAAGCTTTTGCTAAGAAACGGAACCAGATTGTCCTTGCCTTTTACTAGCTTTAAAGTGACCATAAAGCCTTTCGCACTATCGCCATACCATTTGTCTCTAACACTCGTTCAGGTTAACTGGTAGAGAATGCCTATGGCATTAAGTCCGCCGTTTGCATATGTATGGATGGCAATTCAGTTAAAATAAATAAATAAAAGCCTTCCACCCATAGGTCCGTCATTATCGGCCGTTAATACTGGATGCGTTATTTAGACATTTCGTCTATACTTTTATTGCGTCGTTATTATAGCGGTAGTGTGTAACTTCGTAGCCGATCTAATACATAATGTACTAAAACCAATTCTTGCAAAAACGCATCCGGTATTATCGACCGTTAATAACGCGCCTACGGAAGGAGTCCCAAATCACGGTATTACACTTCCGGACACATTTATCGGGCCACCTATCATTTTCAGTTTTGACAGTCCCTAGCTAAAAATGAATGGTATATTAAGCAAAAAGTTATTACCTATACAGGGGGCATACTCGTACCCTCTTTCTCCGAAACGAACTTTCTATAGCGAAATTTAATTTCGTCAATTTAAGGTTATACTTAATTTGAACGATAATCTATCAAATTGAACCTTTCTTTGAGTAGGCTTAAAAAATCTACACCTCAATCTATTCGTATATTCCGACGACAAAAGTTATTATAATTAAAAACGAACCGGAAACATAGTAAGAAAAGTGCGAAGTCTCGATCGAAATTTCGCTTTTATTCGAATTTGAGTAGGCCTCCTGTTTTGGGGCTGATTTATAAACCATCTTTCCTGTTTTTTTTAATTATTGCTCAACCATAAACATATATTTTTGCTACAGACCGTTGAAACTAACACTATAACACTGAGTGCACCGATAGATGTGTCCGCAAGTGTATTTTTTGTAGTTCGTCCTATACATTTTCCCTATATTATTTTTCTAAAGAAATATACTAGAAAAAATTCCACGCGGACCAGGCAGCAGACGGGACTCGAACCCGCACCCTTCGCTATTCGAGCGAATGCACTTATCATTATGCTACCGCGCCCCTAATGGCCGTGTCGATTTTTTTCTAGCCTTAGGCTGCAAGGCCGCACCTTCTCTTCGCTTGCCTGGTCCGCGTGGAATTTTTTCTAGTATATTTGTCTTTAGTTTAAGTTTAGCAGTTATTTGCTTAAAAATAATATACTTTATTTTTCATTTCATCAGGCGCGGCGTACTACCAATTAGGCTGGCTCCGTTTAGCCGAGAAATGGTTACGCGAAGCCGCAGTCTTAGACCCTTCAGGGGCAGAAACTTGGAGAGTGTTAGCTTTAGTATTGTGCGCTTTAGGAGACCCCGCTCAAGCCGCAGATGCCGCAGCTGCGGCTTTAGCTCTACGGCCCACAAGACCGGCTTTAACTACCCATCTACCCATGTAGCTAAGCGATACTGGTTCCCAACCAGTACTGCAGATATGGACCCAATAACGATGACTCTAAAGGTTATTTTCTGACGTCCTCATCAGTGAAAACGAAGTTTTTTGTGACTTTTTAAAGTGCGGCAATGTCTACTACATCTGCAATCATTGTGACCTCGTTTGCCGATGTAGCTAATTAATACTGGTCTGCGGACAGTACTGAAAATGCAACCATTTCTAGAATTAAGGGCCCTGTAACGTCATCAGTGAAACCGAACTTTTTTGGGACTGTTTAAAGTGCGGCAATGTCTACTAGATCTGCAATCATTGTGACGTCGTTTGCCGATGTAGCTAACTAATACTGGTCTGCAGACAGTACTGAAAATGTTACCATTTCTACATTTGTGGGGCCTGTGACGTCATCAGTGAAACCGAACTTTTTTGGGACTGTTTAAAGTGCGGCAATGTCTACTGCTCCTGTAATCATTGTGACGTCGTTTGCCGATGTAGCTAACTGATACTGGGCTGCGGACAGTACTGAAAATGCAACCATTTTCTCAATTAAGGACCCTGTGACGTCATCAGCGAAACCTAACTTATTTTTACTGTTTAAAGTGCGGCAATGTCTACTGCATCTGTAATACTTGTAAAGTTATATGCCGATCGAACTAACTGATACTAGTCTGCAGACAGTACTGCAAATGCAACCATTTCTAGAATTAAGGGCCCTGTGACGTCATCAGTGAAACCGAACTTTTTTGTGACTTTAAAGTGCGGCGTTGTATACTACAGCTGTCATACTCCTAAAGTTATATGCCGCTGTACCTAACTAATAGTAATCTGCAGGCAGTACTGCAAATACAACCATTTCTACGATTATGGACCATGTGATGTTATATCTAAAGCTAGTTTTCAAAGAGATTGTTTAAAGTGCGGCGTTGTCTACTGCACCTGTAATACTCCTAAAGTTATCTGCCGCTGTATCTAACTAATATTAATCTGCAGACAGTACTTCAAATGCAACTATTTCTACAATTAAGGACCCTGTGACGTCTAAGTGAAACCTAACTTTTTTGTTACTCTTTTGAAGTGCGGCAATGTCTACAGCATCTGCAACCATTGTGACGTCGTTTGCCGATATAACTTACTGATACTGGTCTGTAGACAGTACTGCAAATGCAACTATTTCTACAATTAAGGACCCTGTGACGTCTAAGTGAAACCGAACTTTTTTGTTACTGTTTGTACAACCATTGTGACGTCGTTGCCGATATAGCTTACTGATACTGGTCTGTAGACAGTACTGCAAATGCAACCATTTCTACATTTATGGTTCCTGTGACGTCATCACTGAAACCAAACTTTTTTGTTACTGTGTAAAGTGTGGCAATGTCTATTGCATCTGCAATCATTGTGGCGTCGTTTGCCGAAGTAGCTAACTGATACTGGTCTGCAGAGAGTGCAACCATTTCTACAAATATGGGCCCTGTGACGTCATCAGTGAAACCGAACTTTTTTAAAGTGCGGCAATGTCTACAGCAACCATTTCTACAAATATGGGCTCTGTGACGTCATCAGGGAAACCGAACTTTTTTGTTACTGTTTAAAGTGCGGCAATGTCTACAGCATCTGTAATACTCGTAGTTATATGCCGATCTATCTAATGGATTCTCTGTAGACGGTCCTGCAAATACTTGTATTTCTACAATTAAGGACCCTGTGACGTCATCAGTGAAACCGAACTTTGTTGTGACTGTTTAAAGTGCGGCATTATCTAATACATCTGTAATACTCCTAAAGCTATGTGCCGCTGTATCTAACTAATAGTACTTTGCAACCAGTACTGCAAAGATGGACCTTATTACGTTATCTGGATGTGCTATATTCCTGTGTCCTTATGACATCTGCCGCAATCCGACTATAGAGTGGGCGAATCTTGAGAAAAAGGTGCGGTAATATTATACCTATAACTAGATCTCCGTCAATTATGAACATGTTCATAGTGGTATGAATTTACTCCATTTACAGGATACACTAACATTTTCTCAGATCTGCGTGTAAAGATAGAGTCAAAGAGTTTAACGAGATTTTACTTAAATTAATACACTCTAATCTATAACTGATTGCATATTGGAAGAGAAGATAGTAGGAATTTTCACCAACGACAAAATTATTTATTGTTTAGTAAATAAAAAAAAACTCTAAGATAAAAAGCATTGAATAAAAATAATGATGTGTGCCACTTTGCAGCACAAAGTATTGCAAAATACAAAGTATTGCAAAATACTTTGTGCTGCAAAGTGGCACACATATTTTTTTTTAATTCAATGCTTTTTATCTTAGTTTTTTTTTATTTATTATACAATAAATAATTTTGTCATTAGTGAAAATTCCTACAATCTTCTCTTGTGCAGTGCAAAAATAAACGATTTCAAAGTTCGAGGTATAAAAAAACTTTACTTTTGACATCGAAAAACAATATTCCGGTAATTAAGCATTATGAATTGTGTTTACACTTTTTATTTATATCACAACATTATCCTAAAGTTTTATCTAAATTGTAATAATAAGAATATAAAATTATGGTGTACATTTTCATTATAAATAAATAGATACTATTTATGTCACTGCCAATTTTCACAAATTCATTCGATGATACGATGTAACGTACTTATTTCACATTAATCACTGAGTTCTCTATCAAGTGTAGGAAAATATTTACTTTTTTCAAATTCTGGTCAATACGGCTCGAAGGACCAAACGCGTGGAATTCGTTTTACACAGTAAATGGGAATATGCACGTTCCACCGTACACCTATATATAGTTTCAATTATGTACGAACGTAAAATATTTTGTTATCAATGTATTACTTATATACAACAACATTTAGAAGATGTATTTATTCCCATACTAATAATGGAAGAGCATCTTGTTTTTGTGTATACGAAAATGTTTAGACGAGTTTTATCATCATCATCTATTGATCTTTTAACTTTAATCCATCAAAATTGCACTGATTTCAAGAATTGAACATCAAAATATGTTTTAACTACATAATCAAAATATATATTTCTATAACTCGATTATTATCATCGAGACGATCTCAATGATTTATCTCAAATAACGGTTAAACTTACCAGAGGTAGGTTTATAGTTGTTTAAATAAAAACAGCTTAATTTGGTAAGTATGTCTTATGTGATATCGTCAAAGATACACAACATAATACGCTTTTGTAGTTACCGAATCGATCGACAATCTGAGATATTTGGATTGATTATTTATAATATTTTGTTTTCAATTTTTATTAAGACTGGCGTCCACTAGGAACACAGAGTCGGGTCACATCAAATCGTAATAAGAACTCAATTGAAATAGGATATACCGAAAAAAATAAGATTTTGGACCACGACGACTTATTTTTTTTTTTACTCTTCATCGTAAAGTACGTGAGATGGAAACATTTCTGTATCCGAACTGGGGGCCTTGCTTAACGGTAATGCTTTGGAAAACGCTAACGCTTTCGATTTCATATTTTTATTTCTGACGGCCGAAGGTTTTTAAATACCTCACGCTCATTTTCTTTAATATTGTTATTACCAATGCAAAAGAAGAAAAAAAAGAGCGCGAGGCATTTGAAAACCTCAGGCGGCTAGAAATAACAAAATGAAATCGTAAGCGTTAGCGTTTTCCAAAGCATTTCCTTTAGGCCCCCCGTTCATCACGCAAAAATTAACTACTTAGATTAAGATTGTGAGTTCAATATTGGTGTCGATTCTGACATGATTCTCTAAACCTAAACTTACATTTGACAATAGTGTATCCTTGTCATTCTCTATACAGAACGAAAAGGAGAGACTGATGTAAATTCAGTTTTAAGTTAAGAGAAACATGCCAGAGTTAGATGGACGTGCGGGAAATGCGACTATTCGATTTAAACTAAAGAGCGGTATTAACTTATTCTAAAACTCGAAACTATCTTGGTCTTGTTGAGGTGCTTTGGATTTTCCAAGCGACTGCTATGAATAAATAATTGTCTTGTCTATTTTGTACTTGGCTGTAATCTTGAATATATTTACGGCGGTGTTACTGTCAATATGTCAAGTGGAATCGACAACCTTACGTATTGGTAATAAGAGTCGTTTTAATAGTACCGTCAGTCGCTGTTCGTGTATTTAGAATACTTGACTGATTTATTGTTACGAGTTACGAGCCTCGGAATTGATATAGGAAATTTTTATTCACCTGCATTTATTATAAAATCAAATCTTAACATCATTTAGTGGGCCTTCGTGTGTCAACAAGAAAATTTTAAAATCTCATTAGAATCGGTTTCCATCAATTAGTCAACAAGTCATTATTCTTACAAGAAAAATCTACGACAATATATTTTATATCCTCGAGGTATTGATATTAAAGTTTTTACTAATTATTACAATGTAGAAAATCTAACATGATTCTGTGTAAACTTAATGTGGTGTAAAATTCAGTATGTGTATTATGTCTTAATATCATAAGTATACTTACCGTAATCTTATAATATAGTATGGATGTAGCGGTGCAATAAAAATTCAAGATTTTTATCTTATTTTGCGAGATCAAAAATATGCGATAACACAAGTTGCCGATGTAATCTGTAAGATTGTAAAATGTTTCACTGACAATCGACACAGTTTTAGGTTTTTTTGTGCTCATAATATCAAGTTTTGACATGTGCAAAAGATAGCTGATGATAAGCTATCATCGCATTGCAATGCTATGCATTGTATTGTGCAATAAAATACAATTTTATCAGTCCATTATAAATGTGTTTCTACTTTTTTCCCTTTGAAGAGCGATAAAAAAAATAAACTCTAATTAAATTATTGGCGATAATCTCTTGGTCGAATGAACAATTATAAATTGCGGCCAAAAAGGGCCACAGGCATCCACCGTAAGTGATTAAGTAGCTGCATTCATATTCACTCGTGTGTTTGAAACATTGAAATAATAAATAATTCGGCTATAATCGACCAAGATGTAGCCCTATCAGAAAAATAAAAAATACTTTATATTTCGGAGTAGGGATTCAAATGGGACTAATTGTCAATACAACCTAACTCAGTGTTGGGTCTATAAAAAGACCTGGGCGCCATTCGCCTAACGGAAATGCTTAGGAAAACGCTAACGCTTACGATTTCATTTTGTTATTTCTACCCGCCTGAGGTTTACAAATGCCTCGCGCTCTATTTTTTTCTTTTGCATTGGTAATAACAATATTAAAGAAAATGAGCGTGAGGTATTTGAAAACGTTCGGGGGTCAGAAATAACAAAATGAAATCGTAAGCGTTAGCGTTTTCCAAAGCATTTCCGTTAGGCGAATGGCCCCCAGGTTTTATGATCCTTTATTTCTGTAGTTGTACAGTGCGATACAAACTTTATGAAGGTTGTGAAATTAGCAGCGAGCGCAACTACTCGCAGTTATATTCAGGTGAATACCCCTCGCATAATTAATTTCGTTAACTGCGCCGCCACCTGCGCTAACTTCACAGCCACTTTATTGCGCTAACTTCACAGCCACAAAATGATTTTGTCCGTCATTTT